TGTTTGCAGAGATACTTCTTTTTGGACAGAGGGATTTTGAAGTATTCTAAATGCCAAGCTGATGTAAGTGATTTAAAACCCTTTAAAGCCAGTGTAAGGTAACAACAGTATTTTATCTGAAATAACAATAATTCCATAATGATAGTAAAGAGAAGTAGAGTTTCGGCTCTTAACAGTAGATTGAATGCAGAAGGATGATAATCAGAGCAGGTTATGTCCATCTTGCTGTATTCTCGGGTTATTGTATTCTTTTCTATTTTCTGCAGATAGAGAGAGGGAAACTTCATGGCTGTATTGATGTCGGACTTTCTGTCATGTCTGTAAAGAAATCAACAAAATGTATAGACTTAGATACCGAAGAGCAGATATATCATCTGAAGGTAAGTCTTTTAATGTTGTTCAAAATTTGCTCCCCAAACTGTATAACAACGTGAAGTCTGTGTGGTGAAGACCACGTTTATTTTTAACAGCAGGAGGCCTATTAATTTCACTTACAGCTTAACTTTTAGTCTCAACTACTAGTTTTACACTTTATAACTTGAGAGACTTTACTGTTGCAGAGTCAGGTACTCCGTTACATTTGGTGGTAGTTGAACCTTGATGAAACCTCGAAACTTGCAACTAAGAAGTGACAATTTTTGTTTATTTGCTTTTTTCTCTCTAGAAATCGCTAAGCAGCGGATTTTGCATTGCAATCATGGCTCTGATAACTGAAGTTTCTTTTTTGTTTTTATTTTATCCAGGGACTAATTTTGTCATGCTTAAGCTCATGTGTAGTATCTTCTAGTAGGAGAAAAACTTTTATTGGTAAAATACCAGGAAAGTTTTTCTAAAAGTCAACCAGGCTAGCTATCTGATGAGTACAAGATATCTTAGTTTCTTTGCTAGCGATTTTGAATGTGGGTGTTATAACATCTGAAATTTTGTGTAGGTGAAATCTCAGGAGCTGTTTGATGAATGGGTTGCAAAGCTTCGTCATCACAGGATGTATCGTCAGAATGAAATCTCCATGTTTCCTCATGACATCAATAATCTTTTCTTCCCAGTATCTACTACTGTGGACTCTGGCCCTGGGCTGTGTGATTTGACTCCAAGTAGAAAGGTAATAGTGATGATTTATAAACAATGAGCTTTTATCAGTGATTAAATTAGCCTAATCTGTTTTGAAGTAAAGAGCATAATGAAAATTTGTATGGGCTTAAATTGTGGTCTATAAAGAGCAAAATATTATATCTGTAAATTTACTCCAGCAAGTACTTTTCTCTGTGTGCTGGTAAATTTTTTAATGCTGTCCCAGTGTTTTAAAGAAGTAAATCATATTTTCACAATGGCTTTTAAAACTGGATATTAAGTTAGAATCCTCATAATTTTTGGCTATATACTATTATTTGTCTGATACATGCTGGTGAATGTTAATGTGAGTCACAGAAGAGCACTCAGCTATGTCTATATATATTTTTCCTCTTCTCAGATTTTCATTTTTCCTTTAGCTAATAAAACCTCTCTGTTATACAGTAATACATCTGACTGTGGTTAACTACTAGATAGTAGTCATAGGTTACAGCTGTTCAATAATCCCTATTTACATTTTGTGAGGTTGCCTCACAAAACAGTGATTTTATTCAGCACCTGAACACAATCTGTCTCCAGCAGTTTGCATATTGACTGGCTGATGTTCACACAAAGAAATGCTTCTGCTGTTCTGAGAAAATATATTTTTTAGCAATATTGTGCTCTACTTTAACTGTTTTCTGTCAACTCCACAAATATATCTTATGCAGCTATCACTTCTTTGTTATCCTACTACCTAAGGTATTCTTTTTCCTGGCTATATTGCTGTACAGTCTGAGTGGGCTCATTTCACACTACCTGTAGTTTGAGGATTTTCTTCCTACTGATTTGATGGGACTCCTTCTGAGCAGTCAGCAGCAAATTTATCATTGTGTACTGAGGAGTCTCCATCTGTCAGATTTTAGGTGGATGTTTTGGAGTGCTTTGTCAACTTATCCAGTATTTTTTCTCATACGTCTTTTTTGCCTTCAAAGATGCAAAGCACAGCGCATCCTCTGCTACTAACAGGAAGAAAAAAAAAAATGTAGGAAATAAATGTGGAGTGTTTACACTTCCCCTTCTGACCCTGAAAGACTGTTAAAGCTTATTTAGCTGAGCACGCGTCTCTGGCTTGATAAAAGTGTAATAGCTGCGTAAGACTAAATCTGTGCTGCATTAGAATTGGGGTTGAATAGCTATAGTATTGTTTGGAATGATGTCATTCTAAAGTTTGACTGTAGCTGCGTGGAGCATAGGGTCTGTCTAAAAGGTCCTGGTATGAGAGAATATTTGCTACTTTGGCAGGACAATGCTGTAGCTGAATGACAATTTTTTTTTACCAAGCACAAACACGTGCCAGAACTGCTTTTTGCTATTGGCTGAGAGGGAGGTGATCTGTGCAAAATGGCAACTGAAAGAGCAGACTTGCCCTCTGGTAACAGCAGTGTTCAGCAAAGAGCAGTTTGTGTGGCTTTGTGGAGCCAGCACCTCTGTGACTCTGACAGCCACCTCTTCTGAGTCTGCAAGGAAATGGAAAACCTTCCAGGGCACTCTAGTTCTTTTCTCCCGCAGGACAACTTGGATAGAAGGGGGAGTACTACATTTAGAGCAAAAATAGAACATAGCAATGCCCATTTATCTCTATGCCTTTGTTCTCAAAAAATAATAGAAAATATAAAAAGGATCTATGTGACCAGCATATCTAAAATCTGTGCTCGCTGACAGGATACTAACTATTTCTTCTTTAGCATGAGAGACTCTAATTCACTTTTAATTTATTAATCCAGATTTGCACTGCAAAGAAGCCCTACTTATTTTCATGTGAAAAATAGAAGGGGATAGTTCTTAAGCTGCAGTTAATCACCTTAGCTCTGCTGAAGCTAAATGGATGTTTGCCAATTTACACCAGCTCTAGGTTAATGTTCGTTGATATCAATCCAGTGGATAAATATTTTGGGAGAAACATAACTAGTAAACTTTGCATTGCATTTTATTTACCTTTAGAAACACCTGGTCAATTTTCACACTTTGAATAGTTCTTAGGGGATGAATGTATGTATCTATGTATATTTATGTGAAATTCTTGGATTCTAATGCTTAACCATACAATCGAAATTATGCTAACTGGAGCTTCACAAACTCTCTTGACTGTTTCTTAGCAGTGTTTTCTTGTTTCTTTGCTCTTAATTATGCCACACACACACACACACACACACACACACACACAGAACATTATATATATATTCAGGAAAAGAATTAGTTGTTTTGCATGAGATAAATGTGGGATTTTTTTTTCCCAATGTCAATACATTCCTTATCTTTAATTCAGTGTACTTGAGCTTATTAAGGTACTGGAATCGTTTGTGCTTATGTATACAGATGACTGCAACTCATACTGTTTTATGTAGGAATAAAAGAGCTGAACTGCATAGGTTGATTTAAAACAATTATGCTTATTAGTTCTTCCTGCTATTACATGATATGTAAATGTGGTACTGAATGACATCACCTGCACAGTATTTTGCAACTCAAACTGAAGCATGAATTATAAACTTTACAAAGCCAACTATGAAAACAGCAACAGAATGAGAGAGACGATGCTTCATATGAATAATTTTCAAACAAGTATTACCTAAGCTTTGGTAAAAGATGGGCACGTTTTGTAAAATCTGTGTTTTAAAGAAGAGCCAAACAACTTAGTCAGCTCTTCTCATCATCAGTGAAGTGACCATGTAATGGCAGTTAAGGTGAAATTTTAAATAAGATATTGACAAAGTATTAATTGCTTTGTGCAACTTCCTGATGTATATATTAGTAAAAGGCAAAAGGTTTAATAAGGTTTAAAAAACAGTTACATGTTTGTATGGCTACTATTTGTTCTTTCATTAGAAAGAATACAGCTTTATAAGCCACTGTGCACTGGTATAACCAGTAGTGGGTGGAAATTTCTTTCCATTGGAAACTATTTCACTGTGCTGCTCTGTTAGCTCTTACTCATAGCTTTCAGCATCTCTTGTAGTATCTGATAGTGAACACTCCTGAAAGTTTGGAAAGGATTACTGAGACATTGCAAAATGATAGTCTTTATCAAAGTAAGATGTATGTCATACATGTATTAAGATCTGTCAAGTTAAATCCATACTAAAGTCATATGACCTAGAGTAGAATTTTTAGAAAGCATCTAGGATCATGTTTTCTTCATTGAAAAACAGCTCTAAACAACTATATGCATGTTACATTTCAGTTACCTTTGTGCTTCTTCAGGGGTCATGTAAAAGGAATAGAATGTGCTGTTTTGGTTCTGTGCCACATATGGCACTTTAAATGTATTAAATTGATTTAATTGATGCAGAGCATCACCTTTCTTCAAATTTCAGTTTTCAGCCAAATCTTATTACTCCTTTTTTATCTGCTTTTGTACATTGTGTCCTAACAGTATGCTTGATGACTATAATGCATAAACTAGTTCATATACTTTTTTTTATTACTGCTGTGCTGTTGACGCCTTCCGTCCTTGTCACTGATTTTGGACCTCAATTGTTGCTTGTCAAAATGTGTCCTTACAACTTTATAATATTATTTGTTAATTATCTTGTTTTTCTCTGGAACAGGCAGGAAGCTTGACCAAACAAAACTCACTGTCGGCTGGCGGTAACTTGTCATTTTCCTTTTCAAGTAATGAGTCCAGGATTCCATCTTGGCTACAGTCTTCTGAAGACATGGAAAAATGCTCAAGAGGTAATGATATCTGAAGGAAGATGAAAATAAACTGATATTTTCCCTACTTCTTCTTGCCAATGGCACTACAATAGCATAAGTAGTCATTACATTTTTTTTTCTGAAACAAGAGGGAGGAGGAAAGAGGTAGTTGTTGATTTCCTGCCTACTTGCTTGTTTTCAAGAGAGCTAGTGAATGAAGAGGGTAGCAGTTTTGAGGATCTCTTAAAGAAACCTATGTATTTCAATATATTTTCTTTTATGAACATTACACTTGTTTGTAAAACTTGAAGTGTCTTAAACTGGGTTCCAAATCACCTTCTGTTCATGCTTTCCTGAAATAATAAAGATCTCTTTCATGTTGGTAAAAGTGTCTGTATGATGCATGTTTTTTTTTGTTTTTTTTTTTTACCTACTCAGAGGGGTTTCATTTCTAGCTCTGCATGAACTGTTCTGTCTCAAAGTCTATGGCATTTTTACCCTGTCCATGAGTCACTAGTTTGGGTGACTAGTCCTATATGGCAATAACTCATTTTATCTTGTATTCCTACAACCAACTAGGACAAAACACCATATATCACTATACGGGCTCTCTAGAGGCATTTTAATATTTTGAAGACAGAAGGATACAAGCTATTTTAGCCAGATGTCTAATATTATTGGCCCAAAAAAAAACCCAGAATAACTTAAGCCAGCAACAATGAAAAGAAAGCTAGCCTATGAACAAAAAACTTTCATTATATTTGTTACTTCAGAGCAACTGAAAATATTCTCTTGTTCAAAACAGATCTCTCCACTTGTCATGCATATTTACTGGAAATGAACCAGCTGTTACAGAGCATGGATGTCCTTCACAGGACCTATTCAGCACCTGCTATAAATGCTATGCAGGTTTGTTGTTTAAAAACCAAAAAAACCCTTTTCCCTTGCTATTCCAAAAAACAACCCCAAATTCTAAATGATCAAGTTATTTATTCTTAACTTTGCTACTTTTATGACAATCCGTGTCTTGTGTTGTTATTAAAAGGTTGGACCTTTTGAAAGCCCAAAGAAGGAAAAGAGAACACATAGGAGGTGGCGATCTAGAGTTGTTGGGAAAGAAGCTAAAGGAACATTACAGGTGACTTCAGTCCTTTCAGTAGCCCATCTTTTCTTCAATTCTTACTTATTGATAATTTCTTGGCATAACCAGTTTAGGAAATAAGAATCCTTTTGAAGTACTGTTTGACTCATTTTAAACAGTAGTATAATATACAAAACAGTAACCTGTCCTTGTTAAAAACTGCAATAGGATCTAAACTAACTTGTTCAGGAGATAAACTTTCACCCATTTTTCCAGTCTGTCTCCAACTGGGGGCATGGGAGGTATATCTGGTATTTTTTCTCTTTTTAGCAGTAACTATTTTTGCAAATTCTCCAGGTAGTTTTGCTTGTATATGCATTCAGTGTGCTTATGCATCCAGGTACTTATAAGCAGAGGAAAAAAATATTATTGTATATGTTACAACTCTCAATGGACTTCTTTCTTGGAGTTTTGTCAAATCTCCTACTAGGAAATCTTGGGCAAAATTTTGTCAGTGTTTTCATCTACTCCAAGCCTATTGATAACTGATTGTAATTCAGTTAGCTTTGGTGTCCCAGATACGAACAATTTAAAAATAAAATTATTTACAGTTTCTCTAAAAAAACAAGACCGAGACAATCACAAATTTACTGGTATCCTTACAGGTGCCTTCAGTATTTTCTGCCCCTATGAGACTACATGCTTCCAATCCTAACTTATCTACAATAGATTTTGTAGAAGAGAAAAACTACTCTGATGGCTCTGAAACATCATCAGAATTTACTAAAATGCAGGAGGACTTATTTCATATTGCACATAAAGGTAAATAAAGTCTGTTTTTCATATTTTATATCATCACAATTTAATGTGATTTCTGAAAACAGGTCCTGTTTAATATTTAGAGCACAAATCGCCCTCCCTTTAATTGCCTTGTGGAACTGTGGATATTGATGTCTTGAGTCTTTTGAAAAAAATGACTTATCCTATTTCTATTTTTTATGAAGGACCTCCCTGTGTTTAACATGTTAAACCAAGATTCTGTTTGTTGCCCAAAGGTGGAAATTCCCACTGCTGTAAACACAACAGCAGATTATAATCTTCTGTGTGTCTGTGTACATGTGTAGATGAGCACAAGTATGTTTGTATACTAAAGTTGGTTCACCGTATTTGAGTTCACCATTTGCTGGTGATGCAAAGGTTGCTATGGTAGTAACCTATTTTTAGTGAATACATACAAGTAAAATCATGTGAAGACAGAGGAGGGGCAGCTTGACTGTAAATGTTTTGTCTCTTGAAGTCATTCTTCATCACAGTACTTTGCTGTGTCACCCTCCAGGGTGACCAGAAACATTTTTATTAAGTATATTTATGTCTGAAAGACTTTTGGAAGGATAGGTGTTGCTCCTTTTGCATAATATGAGTTGTTTGATGTTATCAGTATGGATTCTTTCATTGTTTTTGTCCACTGGTGCTGATGTATCTTGATTCCGTTGTGGAAGAAATCAAGCTTTATGAACTGAATTGTAATCAAAACTGATGCATGTTTTCTGAAACTAGAAAAGAGGGTGGGAGCGCAGCTGGAAAAGTTGCTATCTGCAGCAGCACTAGAATTCTCCTGTTCAAGATGATGTTAACTAAAATGTCTGTGTCACAAGTTCTGGTTAGATTGAACTATGCACTAAGGGGACAAAGGACTACATGCTATTTAATACAATACGTTTTATTAAGAATGTAAAAGCTACTTTATACCACAACTTTTCTTTTTTTCCAGAAAGGTGATACTTTGACATTTGATATAGCTGAAATGTATCATCAGTACTTTATTCTATAAAGATTCTTGAAAATTTATGTTAGTATACCAGCTATTAAATGAGAAGTAAGGTCACTGAGGGTTCTGGTCATGTCTCCTACATATGAAAGGCTAATGTAACATAGATCATAATGGACACATCTTCCTCTTCACCCCCAGGGATGTTAGATTTCTTCACATAGATTAAACTATGGAAGTTAGTTTTGATAATGGTTTCTGATGATGAAATACACTTAAGGATTATTTTCTTTTTAAGATTAAGTTATGTTACTTGAGATACTCGATGAGGTAATAATTATTCAGGTTAAATCTGGGAGATGCCTTGTTCTTTACTCTTCCTGTGCATCTACACTCAGAGTTGTTGTTTTTTTTAATCTCCATTTCACTGGTAAATACCCTGATAAATTTTTGCATTTCCTATTCTTGTGATTTTATTATAAGACTTGAACAGTCCCTCAAAAATCTGCTAGTTCTGCAGAATGATGAATGTTGAAATACTACATAAACATTACCAGATTAAATTTTTATTCCTCATGGTCTCAAAAAAAAAAAAAAAGCTTGTGTGATCTATTATCTAATTTGCCTGTTTTGGGCTAGTGAAATGGACTCAGAAAGAAGTGGGAGCACCATCATGTTCAGGATCTGAGCTGTTGAGTCAATAAATCATCTAACAAGCTGAAATGTCATTGTACCCAAAATAAATCACCACTGTTAACTTGTGGTGAAACTACTAACCCTATAGCTGTAACACTGTATGTGTTATAGCTGCCTTCTTGATTGATTTATTTTTTTCCTTCTCTCTCCTCCCCCACTGGAATTCATAAAGGAATGTGGAGTAGAATCATGACCATCTGAAGATTCAAGCTAATTGGGAAACAAAAGCAAGTGAAGAGCAGACGTGGTTAGTTAGCTTTGTTGCCATCTGTCACAAATTAATCAAAGCAGTTTTGACTGTGGCTAATATAGTTGTCATGTTAGCATTTACCATAAACATTTCTCCTGGTTTAAAAAAAAATAAAATCTGATAACCTTCAATAATATACTATCCTGGATCTCTCAAGCTAAATTCTTGTTTCTATCACCATAAATGATGTTTCATTGAAATTTAACGTAATTGGTGTGTTATGTGTAGCTGCTTTTAACCTCATTTTTTTTACAAAATGGTTCTAGTTTACTTCACCTTGAAGTCAGCTTTCAGCAGCATATCTACTGAGAGAGAAAAGCTGAAGCAGATGCTGGAGCATGAGGCATCATCGTCTCCATCTGCACAAATAGTTGGCTTGAAGAATGCCTTAACGTCTGTAAGTGATATGCTGAAGTTCAGCAAGTTTCATTATCATCAGTTATTACTTTTAAATTTTATAGTAGTTAATTTGTTTTGTTAGTGTCTGCTCTGTGCTAAAATTTACAATAGTGAAGCATAATGAGTCATGATTGTATAGGGTATTTTACAAAGACTCTCTTTCCTAAATGGTAAAAGTACTGTGAAATGATGAAGACTTGATGGATCATGCTGTGCCCCTAAATAAATCTGTGTTATTTGATGTTAAGTATAAGAGTTGCTTTGTGCCTGAGTCTACTTTGTCTGGATCAATCATTCCATTCTGATAGGCTGTGGCTTTTCCTAAACAGCACCAAATATTTGTTATAAGCACAAAATAAAGGAGCAGCTGAAGGCACTCAGCTGTCCTTTCTATTCCACCAGAGCTTTGCTGCTCTGCACCAAAACACTGAAAAACAAACTCAAGTACAACTTGTTTATATTGGCTTCCACCTTCACCTGTTGTTCATCTGAAAGCAGCAATGGATTAGTTAAAACAAAATCCTAAATGAGAAAAGATTTAAAAAATTGGTTGGATTTGGTTGGTACACTTTTTTCAACATGAACTGGTCTCAAACAGTTTCATTACATCAACTAAACAGTAACCTGATTTCAAAACAACGAGGGCCAATCATTATCATGTCTTAAAATTTCAGTTTATGTTTCAAATTGCTAATCAGAGGCAGGAGTGACTCTGGTTAAATGTGGTATAGATCTTAGAATTAGTTCAGTATAAAAGCTTGCTTTGTTTTACAAAAGTTGTGTATGGTTATAGCTTTTTAGCTTGAAATGTTTCTTTCCCTAGACCTGTAGATATGATGATGTCTTCATAGAATTTGGAGAAAGCTGAAGCTTGTTGCATAGAACTACATTCACTCATTTGTTTTTGGCTTTCAGCTGTTCCACTTGGGACATCTAATTGGGTGACTTCCACTTTTTCTAATGTTATTTGCTTAATTTTACGTTAAAAGATCAGTTCTAAGGTTTGTGAACTGAGTGAACACTCAGCTAAACCTGGATTCTCTCTCTAAGTGATGAAATTCTGTTCATCCTCTAAATTTCTTATAAAAATCATGCTCTTTGCTCTTATTTGTTATTAAATAACCCTTCTGTAACCCATCCAGATGTGATTTCTGAACTATGGCAGTTTCAGCAGAAGTAACATCTATGTGAAAGCTATTCTTAGCCTTTAGATCTGTAAAGCTGTGATGCCAACAGAAATTTTCTCACCATGCACAGCAGAGAATCCTGTAGGGGAAAAGAATGAGCTTCTTTTGAAGAGTTTATCATATCTGTACTTCCAGAACACTAAGACTGTTCCTTTCAAGAGTCTTGTACTGATGACTTTAATGTTTTTTTTTATTTCAATTTTTATTCAGTTCATAAGGACCAAAAGTCATATGGGTTGAAAGCTATCAACTATTAAGCTATTTGGCTCTTATTGATCTGGCAGGGGAAGAAATCAAAACAGATTTGAAGTGCATAAAACACATTTTTCAAAATAAGCATCTCTGCCTTTGCTTTTCCCTTATCCACATGCTATTCTTGACCTCCACCCAGCAAATAGACAAAGGTGAACTAAAAAAGTAAATGGAAGAAAGCACAATAGAAGAAGATATCCACAAGAGAAGGAAGAAAGTAGTTCTAGCATGATATTCAGGAAGGCTATATCAATTCTTTCTTGTATTAATTTGATTATGTGGGTATAATACATAAGCCTGTCCACCTGAGTACTTGAGAGAGGAGTGATAAATGCTAGTATGTTGAAGCTAGACCATGCAAATGTAGAGTATTCTCTGGCTTTTTCTCCCATTCACCATCACTTCAGATCTGTCTTTCCTACTTCCAACAAAAAAATACCATCAGCATTGGACAAAGTGAATGCATAAATTGCAACGTTCTTGTATTGATTTGCATAGCAGAAGTGGGCAGTAAGTCTTCAGTTTTGTTCCATCCTGATGGCTGGATTGTTTCTTTTAATTTTTATTTTCTATCCAATTCAATAGACACAAAGAGGGAACCAGTGTTTTGTAAGGGCAGATCTCCACTGTAGTTACTTAAAATGATGAGCTTGGCTAGACTTGCATTACAGTACAGGAGCTATTACTCAGAGGCTTTTTTCCTTTCATGGTTAAAGTTAGTAACACAGGTTATTTTCATTGCACTAGGGCTACATTCTATTCCTACTGACTGACATAACCATCAATGCATTCAATGTGAATAACTAATCACCAGAGTTTGCTACAGAGGGTTTTCTTTCCTAATTATTTCCATTAAGAGGCTGTCAGGACACACATCATAAACTGTTTTTAATTCAGTGTTAGAGTTCGTCATTCTCTGCAGCTAGCAGAGTTGCATTGGAATGTACAGGTTACCCTGTCTGTTTTTCCAGAAGAAATATTTCAAAATAGTCAAAAATCTACTTAACTTAGAATACAGATTAAAGCAGCCTACCATAGAAGAGATTTGGTACGTGAAGAACAAATCCTGGGAAAAGAATATTACAGGAAAATCTTTTCCTCATTCCCCCTTTTACTCCGATACAAAGCTGAGACCAAACACTTAAGAATACATCTCATGCTCCTGCACACATCTAACAATCTAAGGATTTGCACAGATTTGAAACTTTGCAGGATGAACAAGCACTGAACTTACTCCTCAGATTCCTATCCAAAGTCACCCCTTTCCTTCAGCTCTACATCAAACCATCCATTCTGTGGTGGAGCATATTTCAGATGCATCTTAGCAAGAGGATTCTACTTCACATACTGTGTTTCTGTACTGACAGGAGAAACATGAAGATGTTTAGGTGGAAGAGACCTCTTTTCTATCAGTTTTTAAAGGAGAAGGTGTTGAAATAAACAGAGTAGTCTACATAGCCCCATCAGAAACTTAAGTATGCTTCTTGGTTCTCTTGAAGAAGATGAGACAGAAAAACTTAGTTTTATGCTTACTTATTCCTGTATTTGCTTCCCCATGTGGTTAAATCAAACTATATATGTGAAATCCTTATGGATGATCAAAGGGCTGGGGCTGGAATCTCTCTTTTAGGAAGAGAGGCTGACAGAGCTGGGATTAAGTCTCTGGGGAGACCTTACTGCAGCCTTCTGATACTTGAGAGGGAGGGCCACAAGAGATGAGGAGAGACTCTTTACTGAGTTATGTCTTGATAATAAAAAGAGCAATGGTTTTAAACAAAAAGATAGATTTTAGGTCAGATATAAGGAAGAAATCCTATACTATGAGGATGAATAAGGGTCTGCCTAGAACAGGTTGCCTAGAGGAATGCCTAATCACTGGAGGTGTTGAAGGTTGGATGGGATCCTGGCAGCCTGATCTAATGGAAGGTTCCTGTGGCAAAGTGGTTGAAACCATCTAGTCTTTAAAATCCCATACCATTTTATGATTTCATGGTTGACAGTCACCAAGAGGAGATGAGAGCTGTCCCCCGAGCATGCCTTTCAGAGGTCAAGTAAACATCCACAAGTTATAGACATAGTCAAAGAAGCAGGGAAGGATCTGAAAAAAATACACTAAAAAAATAATCCCTGGTTTCAGGGAATAAATAAGCTCATAGACAGGGCCATCCAAACACCCCAGCAGAGTGAAGTCTGTCAAACTCTTGGTTTGGGCTAATCCTCAAGCAATGAACTGGCTCCTAGAACTTCTGCACCTTCAGTAGTTCCAACAGAGTATGAGGAGAAACCCACTTGATCTCAGAAGTAGTATTGTCTAAAGGATTGCAGTGTGTCCAGCTGACAGCTGTGGCTGGAGGAGTGCTAGTCTTCACAGGGTGTGTTGAGTTGCTCCATACAGTGGGAGACAGCAACTGCTTCTGTGCAATGTTATGCTCATGCACTTGCAAAAGAGCATATTACCATAAGTACAGTTGGTCTTAAAATGCTACATGTAATTGTAACACTGAAGAATTGGATTCCTTTTTGTTCATAAGCATCCCAGTTTCTGAAATGGAGCGAAGAAAGGACTGTTTCACTATCAATACCTGTAGAGGCATATTTTTTAATGGAGTAAGTTTAAAACAATGCTCACTAAGCTTATATGTAATTATAAAGCAATGGAACATAAAATAGCGTTAGTATGCAGTATTAAAAACATATGGTACAACTGTAGTAAATACAAATACATATTTTTCTCAGCAAAAAACAGAGCTAAGTTGTTTTTTTTTGTTTGTTTTGTTCTTATGTTATTCGTTCATAGTTTTTCTGTATGGTTTGGAGAAGTGTTTCTCCCCTAGGGCCTCATTACATCCAGTGAAACTTGCCCCCTGCCATTTCTGGAATTGTCTCTGGGAAAACAATGTCACATACAAGGGTTGTCTTATATTCATTCAGACTGCATTTTTCCTGTTCTTGCCTGGTGCAGTAGTACCACTTCAGTTGGGCTGCAGCAACAAAAGTGGGAGATAGCTTTGTCTTACTAATTAGTCTGAAGTAAAATCTCACTTCTCTGCTAGTGGAAGACAAAGAGAACAGTATATCAGCTTGATGGAAAAAAAAAATCACTTTTTGGTGTGGCAAGAGTGAGAACATTTAGAGACATGAGGTAGAGGAGTTAAAGACGATGCGCAAAATTCATTCGTTCTTAAGTTATTATATCACCTTGCACAACCTAGTAACTTGAGAGTGCCATCCCTGGCTTTTGCTCTCCAGTTGTCTCTAAAATTATTTTTGTTCAGTGTGAAGGAAAAGACAAGGTACAAGATTTGAACCATTTATAACAAATAATTTGCTACCAGTAACCAATTATGTGTTTAATACCGCATTTAAAATACTCCTTCCCTTTCTTTTTACACAATGAAACCACTGTTCAAATTAGTTGAGAGAACTTTATATCCCCAATGTTTTTGTTAAATATTCCAGGCAATAGCACAAAACACAGATCTAAAAGACCGGTTACGCAGAATACATGCCGAATCTATGATCCTTGATTCAGCATCTAATGCAAAATCAAGTCCAGATTTGGTGAAGGTGGGTATGGATTTCCTCTTTCAGCGATCTTTTCCTCCAGCTCCTACATCTAGATGGTGTTACATCTTGTCCTGTTCTTCATGTCTTCCCTACAGCGTATTGTGTTAGCAAAATGAGTCCGCTTTTGTGATTATGAATCATTTCTGGTGATGCATTGTGTTATATTTCAAAGATTTTCCTTGTGAGCAGTTTTCCTGTGCATACCACCATTGCTTTTGCTACTGGCTCCTGGTATTTCTCCCTCACCTCCTGCCCACTTCCCAGTCAGCATGAACAAAGCTGTCTTGTCACCTTGCTGCCAGTGGTTTTCTCTCCTTGCATTCCCCTGTTAACTTTCACACCTGTCTGAATACTGTTAGCCCGAAACACTAACTACTGGTGTGACTGATTTAAGGTTTAGAACCATTAATAGACTTTTCTTTCATGGAAGAATTGAAGAAATGAAATATATGGGATCTTAGCCATTTAGTTTTGTGTTTGAAGACAGGGAGTCTTCTGCATATCCAGTTAGCCAGTTTGAGATACACTGAAGTACTGACAGTTTTTTGGCTCACTTCAGAATGCATATGAATATGGTGTATTTATAGATCATAGGACCTAGATATTTAAGATTCTAGTAAGGGAAGCAAGAACTTATTTCTGACAAATTTTCCTACGTGCTAACTGATACAGAAACTTCTGCTGTGCTTGTATAATAAATCCTGCATTAGAACTTGAATGGATGTAGTGTTGGGTTTTATATAACATACTATTTCCTTTCATTTTTAAAGGCAGTTTAGTCATTCAGTCTGTTCATTTCTATTTTAGTTCCTTTTTAGAAGTACTGATTCTGGTCATATTTCGCCTCTCTTTTAAGGTAATTGATCATTTCATTGCCTTTTGCTTTTAATCCCATGAAGTTTTTGAATAGCACTGCTATACAGAGAGGCATTAATGAATGAGTATATTGGTTTTTAATTTCAAGAGTAATCTTCATGTTTAGTGGAGGACCTAATAAAAACATTGGGTTATTTCTCAAACATAGAATTGCTTAGATTGGAAAAGACCTTATAGCTCAATCAAATCCATGCTGTATACACTGCACATATAGTGACAAAATTAGCTTTTAAAATGTCCTTTAGGGCATTTGTTGATAAGTTCCCTCTGGAACTTACAGACAAAAATCACTTATACTGGAAGATTTTCATCTTAGATTGTCTGAGGACTGCAATACAGTACTGCTGCTGTGAGGTCACTGCACAAAGCTTGGCTCTAGATGATATATCAGCTGTTATGATAGACCTCTGGAAATTGAAGCATTATTAACTAGTTTTTCAAGCCTTTGCATAAAATGAACATTTAGTTTATATTTTGAGTGGTTTATGGTGTAGTTTATCATGCCACAATTGAAACATGAACAAAAACAAAGTGAAGCTCTCATGCGATTAAATATAAAAACAAACTGTTCTTTTATGAGCCTCTTCTGCTCATTTTGCTTCTGAGATTCAAAATGAGTTGGAAGCAATCCTAGTAGCACTGCTCATGCACATAGAAAGTTTTTTTTGACTTGCAGGCCAATGTAACTGCCTTCCCCCAGAAGAGTCAATTTTGAGGTTACTTCTTTCTTCCAGCTTTACTGGGATTATACAATTAAAAAAGCAAAAATCTTCTGTAAGTAACAAACCAAACTGTTATCAATGTCACCATTATCAGTACACAGTGAATAACATTCTATACTGTAGTAAAACCTGCCAGCAGAGAAGCTTGAAAAGATTTGTCAGTTTGATTACAGACTTACCAGATAATTCATTAAGTGAGTTCTGAAAGTAAAGCTTCTAAAATTTTCATTTTGCAATTCCTACAAAATTACAATAGCAAGGGCAGCCATGGTTACAAGTTAAGAATGCATCACATACTGAAAGAAGCTTGAGAGCAGCTGATATGCTAATTTGGACTAGCCAGCCCATCCATAGTAGGGATGGAGCTATGAGGGAACTACCAGTACTCACTGGTAGTCCCACCTTTGCTAGACTACATTTGGCAACTCTGCTTATGCCAACTACCTATAGAGAGAACTTGGGGTTTCTGCAGGTGGAGGTCATGAAATCTGTACAGCATTCAAACAGAACTTCAGCAGCAAAAGCAATATCATTGATGTGGCTTTGATAATATGCTGACTTGAGTTGACATACAGTTCTTGGGTGTGAATAAGCCTTCTGAAGCATAGCATTGAAAATAGCCTAGTGGAGATAGTTAGGAAAACATTGCTATTGCCCCTCTGAATTTTGTATGCTACTGCTTGACCAGACTTGCATTAAGCAAGGCCTGAGAAAAAAGACGACTAGTGTTTATTAAAATCAGCAAAGAATGAGGATCCAGTATGTAGTAAAGAAGTTGAAATTTTCTTCTTTGCAGGAATTTCTCAGTGATACACTTGCATACATGACTGGCTGAACCTCTCAAATATGAATGTATTCTCACGTTTTTTTGTCAGAGGAAATAGTACATGGCACAGTATAAACTGATCTACTGAATTATACATTTTTTTTTCTTTTTTAGTCTATTTTCCTTTGGTTTTAATACCCTCATCAGAACATGCTACTTTTCACTAAGTTGGAAAAGGAGCATGTGCAATCTTCTCCCAGGTGTTCTACAACCCTTTAACTTATGTGACTGGATCTATATGCATGAATGCTATTTGTAGTGTTTTTCCTCTCAACACTTTGTATTTCTTTTAAACAGGAAAATTCAAGAGAAGAAAACAGAGGTCTGGTTCACCAGATCTCCAATGAAAGCAGACTATCTATTGCTGACTCTCTTACAGAATTTTTCGATGCACAGGAAGTCCTACTGTCTGCTAGCTCTTCAGAAAATGAGGTCTGAGCTTTAAGGTTGACACTATTTTTATCTAGTTCATTATCTGCTACTCAACATGTGGTCTTTCAGTGTGCTAATTGCACTTCAGATGATTTGACAAAAATAAGTTACTATGCTGCTTGTGTTCATTTGTTCTCTTCACAGTTGAATGTAAAAAATTATTGTGGAGAAGTCTTATATGTACACTGAGGAAAATGGCAAACAGGTAGCTAATATGCAGACACTGTATATATCGTATGATCTGCCTTGAGTCATCATGCAGGAACTAAGGAAATTCTATCATAGAAATATATCTGCCCTGTAGGTGTACCTTGGGGCCAAAACTACACATACTAAAACTTAATAGCTCACTTCTCCGGGACTCCCTAAGTTCTTGGTGTTTGATGTGGTGAAAGCCCTTTTAGCTCTGAGACCACAATGATGAAGCACAAATTGAATTATCGCTGATGGTAATAATTCCCAAAGTATTTAATTCTTATGTCCACTTAGTACTTTTCTCCAATACTGAAACACAGCTTAAAAAGTTCAGATCTACAATAAATATTAATTGCAGCAGAAAGTAACTATTTTTTGTGTGCATGTGGAATTATTTTAGTGGGTATGTTAGTGAGTAACATGTCTTATTTCCCCATCCTGCACATAGGTATCAGATGATGACTCATACGTAAGTGATATCAGTGATAATGTCTCAGAAGATAACCTAAGCAATGACATAGAGAACGAAAGACAAACTTTAGGTAAGTTCAGGGTTTTATGATATCATGTTTTGGGAATTGTGTTTCTTGTTTGAGGTATTTTTTCTTGTTTTGTTAGAAAGCATTTGATATTACAGATGGTGATATAGACAGCTTGTGTGTTTTTTTCCCCCCCTGTTATCACCTCAGACTGCTTTTGAGCACCATGTTCTGATTAAACTGATTAAGAGGGCTAAGGCACCATTGTTTAAGCAGGGTGGTGGTTCAGTATCAGCAGAGAAATACCAATGTGCTTGTTCTCTCAATTTCAGCTCCTTTTCAGATCCTTTCATGGCCACAGGATTTTTCAAACTAGTAAGGCTTGCTGCTTTTGGTTGCTTTTTCATTTCATTTTTCTCTAGAAAGTAATTTGCTTCAATATAACAACCATGTTCAAAGTTCTGTCATTTTTAGCAGATTTTATTGTTTAAAAGAACATGTGAAGTATTTACTCTCACACCTCATGCATGACCATACAAATTTCTTCTCTGCCTTTTAATTATGACAGACTTGTTACTGGGTACACTTATTTAACAGCCTTGCTAATTAGAGAGAATAAAAGAATGGAGGCAAAGGAATGGGTCATAATAAACTAATTGGCTTTGTGCTTTCAAAGCATTTCATCTAATCATAATCTTCTTCCCACTTTATCTGTGTTACATTCAATAATGCTGACCAGTTGTTTCTTACTTGCAAGTGCTACCAAGGATGAATGGATCCCTTTATATTTCAGTAGTTAGTATGTTTGGAGATCTGTTCTGTAATTGTTTTAAAAAAGATGTTTTGAAATATGGGATTGGTTTTCTTTTCCTCATAGTCTGAATCTTAGAAAACGAAGAATGTAGCTGTGTTCATCTTGTAATAAAGACTACCACTGAACTATGCTGTGTGAGCAGCACCTCTGTGTACTTCTAATACCTATTTCTGTGCTTTGGTCAGTCTACCTCTTCCATTGCAAATTGGATACCTTTTTTCCTACATGGGCTTTTACTGAGCTATGAATTGTGGAGTTCTGAAAAAAATCTTGACCCCTGCACTGTCAAGAGTCAGACCAGATGTTAGTAATGGTCCAGTCTGACTTGAAAAGTCACTGATCCTAGCAGAAGGTCAGGTGTCTTAGTCTCCCTTCAGTGTTGTTGTGGCTGTTTGTCACAGGTCTTGGAAACCAGGGGGGGTTCTCTTCATTAGGAGTGAGCAAACTACACTGAAGAGAGAAATCTCATCCATCTGAATCAAAATTGATGTATAACTAAGCAATGTACCTGTTGCAGAAGCTTATAGCCCTATTTTGATTCAATAGATGTAATTTCATTGCACAGTTCGAACTATTTATTCTGTTTTGACTGCTTTGACAACAACTCTGGCCACCTCAGGTATTCTTGTAGTTGAGTCATTTTATTTTTAAATATTAGCAAACACTAAGATCCGGAATTGCTCCAGTTTTTCTACCTGTTAAGCAGGTAGAAAGCAATATATGCAATTAAATAAGCAATATATGGATGTATCTAAAAGCCAACATGGTTTGACATTTTTAAAGTGCTCAGTGCTATGGCAAGCACAGTAGGAAAGCCTTCATGTAGATCTGTACTACGCTAGATTTCATTGGAAGCAGTATTCAAAAGAAGATAGATAGGAGTTACTTTGGTGCTTAAATCTGTAATTTATTCCTTGTCTTCTGAGAAGTGGCAACTTAATTGAAGCTCTGTCAGAGAGGGAGGTTTTATGTCACTTAAACAGATAGGAATCTATCTCTGTTACAATTAGGATAGCAATAATATTTACTCTTTCAAATTCAGCAGGAAGCCTGAGTCTCTCTTCTAGCCTTTAAGGGAAAGGAGGTAGTTTTTCATGCTGCTTTTCTACCTTAAGTTAACTTAGAGATATTAGAGTCACATTTATTCTTTATCCCTTTGTAGCAGGCTATCTTTAAACCACAGGTGTAGTTATTTGAATGAAATGCATCTTCGACAAAAAAAATGGTTACATTTTAACGTATATTTGTAAGAGGGATAAAGTGTATGTAAATGATGTATTAACTCATTCTGCATATTTATTTTCAGACTGTATTTCTGAAAGTGGAATTGGATGCCATTCTAAACGGAGAACATGTTTACCAGCTCCGTGTCCCAATACTAGTAACATCAGCCTGTGGAATATCTTAAGAAACAACATAGGAAAGGATCTCTCTAAAGTGGCCATGCCTGTGGAATTGAATGAACCACTTAACACCCTTCAGCGTCTCTGCGAGGAGCTGGAATACAGTGAGCTACTAGATAAAGCAGCTCATACACCTAACCCATTTGAACGGATGGTAAACACTTTATTCTAAATTCTTAATAATAATCAGTATAACCAGAAGAGAGTGCAATGTAAAATCAATCTGTCAAATATATGAAGGCGTTCATCTCCATTTTTCATTCCACCCAGCTGAGAGAGGCAGGCTCTAACACATCTGTGTTTGTTACCCACTAATTTTTATTCTGCCTAATTTCTTTTGCTTTGTAAGGAAGCACATCTCCTAAAGTGCCTTGTCCTGCAAGGTTAAATGAAGTACAGGTTGAAATCTGGTTTGTATCTTTCCCTCTTCCTTACTCTTCTAGTTTTCCAAGATTAAAAAACCTGGAGCAAAGAGGAGTGAACTATTATGCTTCTCTTATGAGTATGGAAGTTACAATACTACGTATCTTTGTAGTGTGAAGTTGCCTAATCTGGAAACAGGTCTCCATGGAAGATAGTGAGTCTTCCAGCCCTACCCTAATGTGATAGTTTTGGGTTAATTAAGTGAGCTCCATTTGTTTTATCAGCTGACTTTTTGCAATTCTGAGGATGCTACAAAATGGTCAGGAACTTAAAACTAGGCACTGCTTATGTATGTTGGTTACTATATTGATGTCATCTTCCATTACCATAGAATCCCAAATTTGATAAATAACAAGAGAAAATTGATTTCAGTTATTTGCTTCTAGATTCACAGGAGGTGCTTAATATGTATGCCTATAAATAAAGGACTTTAAAGCTCCCTACGTTCTCATAAATAGAAGAGATGGATTGTACCCTACACTAAATTAAGTCTTTTGATCAATATTTCTTACTTTAAAATGAGGCTATTAATGTAAATAATTATGTTATAAATACTGCTTGAAAAGACACTTGTTCCAACTCTACAAGGATGGTAACTTTGTGTCTGTCCTTAGGATTTAAAGGATGTAATACAATGGAAAGCATAGTAATGACAACAAAATAGCAAGGTCCTAGGTTGCAATAGGTGAAGGTTTACTCAAATGCAACAGTCATCATCACAGAGACAAAGAAAAAACCACTTACCCTCAGAAGGTCTCAGCTATGCAGGGGTCTCCAGCAAGATACCCTTACCTTCACTGCCAACCCTTAAATGAGATCTGGGAAGGGGTGGATCCTTCCAGTCACTTAGGTGCATTGCTTGCACCTGAGCTCCCTTGGGTTGGCTCTGCCTTCCTACCAGGTGCTTAATTACTGCTTGGAGCCATGACTTAGCACTTCTGCTATAGAGCACGTGGCTGTTAATTTGTTTTTAAGTATAGAACTCTTTTTTGCTTTTGTTAAGAATACAGATTAAAAGAAAATGAACAGTAGGTCTTTGCATGGGGATGAAAATAAGTCTTTTCACTCCTTCCCACGCTTAAGCATCTGGAAATTGAGTCAGAACGTGGTATTCTTTGACTCTGAAAAACTCTTGAGGTAAAATTGTTGTTAGCTGTTGTATAGTAATTGCAACATTTTGCTTCAGAATAGCTCTTTATTAAGTCAGTTTCTGAATTTGTGAATGGAAAACACCTACTCTTTCACAAAATGTGGAAAAGGATATGGAAAGGAAGAAAAATGGTACAGGTTGCACTGAACATAACAAATTTTGTGAAAACTCCCACAGTATTTCCTGTGCCATGTTTAGAGAAAGGATAGTGAGTAGATCCATAGAATAACAGACCATAACTGTAAAAGCCAATTACAATACAAAATCTATCAGTGGTTTTTAAGTTTACTACTTTCAATTCTGTGTGTTCCAAAATACTGAATTGTTTCAAACTGTTTTCAGAGACTCTGTTTTCAGTCAAATAATTTGCGAAGTTCGATCCTATTAACTCTGTCGCTGGCCTCTTGAATGATTCATTGAAAACTGAAAAACTCTATAATGTACGAGCTAATGCTTAACTCCCAGGAGGAGGCATACACATTTATAGTCTGCAAATAATGGAAAAAATAAATAGCTGATGTCAGGATAAGGTCTTTGTTTATATATATATATATATATCTTCTGTTAAGTCAGAATCTATTGAAAAAAAAGTGCATGATTGTGATAATCAGATTTCTCTCTGTGTTATTTCCAGGTGTATATAGCTGCGTTTGCAGTATCTGCATATGCATCCAGTTACTACCGAGCTGGAAGTAAGCCATTTAATCCTGTTCTTGGAGAAACCTATGAATGTATTCGTGAAGATAAGGGTTTCCAGTTCTTTGCAGAACAGGTACTGTATGCTGCAACACTTACTTTTGCTATTTGATAGACTACTTAATTCTGAATGCATGGCTGGTATCCCCCAGAGCTATAGCAAAATACAAAATTACTTTGTGTAACCTTTGCCCAGCAAAACTCAAGGGATGCTATAGAATTATAAATGAAGGAAATTGCTTTGTTTATTGAGGAAAGGCAGCTAACGCTGGGATGGAATGTGACAACCAGTCACTGACAGTCAGAAGCAAAGGCTTGGCAGGCTGTTACTCCAGTAACTAGGTAACTTGTTTAAGTTTCTCATTCTGAAATCTGTTCACTACTACAAAAGGCTTTATGTTCTTGTCATGTTCTTTTGTGTGCAATCATTTAAAATTTTCATAACAGATCATCTTTTTTACAGCAAATATTTCATTCACATCAGTTGATCAACCACCAGTATTTTCTATAGCACCATGAATGTTTATTCTCCCTGTCCAAATACTCTGTGGGCTAAGCCTGTCAAATCTGGTACCACGGCTTAGTAGCTGAAGGATGTATACAGCACATCAAGGTCTAAGTGTTGCTGAAAATAGTCTTCCTGTAGTATGGTTATTAAGTGTGGGTAAAAAATATATAATATTTGAACCAGTCCAGATACCAAAATTGCTAAGCTTGAGATATAAGTTAAAATGAGGTAAAATTTAAAGAATCTGGTTCCTATCAGAATGTAAGAAAGATTGAAAGCTGTTTTATTCTGTCTAGACATTGCAACAAAAATTAGAAAAGCATAGTAGGCAAAGCTGTGCAGCCTAGAAATTTGATCAGTAAAAGCCTTGTAAGAGTCTTCTATTAGTAAATGAAAAGTGTTTTTGATGCACTTTGTACATCATGTTGTGCAAAGAACAAGAAGTTGTGCTATGTGTGATCTTTCCTTAGTCTACGAAGTATCACAGACAAGCGTAAAAATAAGGAAAAAAAAGCAGAACAGTCAAAGAAAGAATCAAGTCTAAGTTCAAGCAATGCGTCTGAATCTTTATTGCGTTTAGTTCTAAGAGTTAGTTCTTAGAGCAGTGAAGTTACCAGTGTAACATCAAATTGGAATAGCAAAGCAGATTATAAAGTTTGGAACTTAGTTTAATATAAGTTTGAATTAAAGGAGAAAATTTTCCCCTAAATATTAGACAAATCACTACAAAGGCTACTTCTCCTAAAGGAGATTTTAAAAATATGAGTGTTCTTGTTTTGTTAATAACTGTTGTTCAAATATGTGCAGTATGTGACATGAATGGTAGAGTTTTACTATTTTATTATGGGGTGGAGGAATATTTGGAAGAGAGGGTGGTATATGAGGAAAGAAATTTCATGCAGCTTGCAAACGTTAAATATTTCTTTTTGCATCAGGAGCTCTTATTTATTGCTTGTTTGTGCAAGCATTTTGATGCTTACCCTAGATAACTTGTTAGTGCAGTTACCATGTAATGTGTGAAATAGAAAAGCAGAAGGTATAAAATTATAGAGATCTGTTCTATTATTAGGGTATGTTCAGAATAACTCTACTTAGCTCCATGACCTTACTCTGGAATTATCACAGTTTAAGTGAGAGCCAAGTTTAACCTAGGAATTATAGTGACATCTGGGGTTAATCTGAACACAGTATATGAGGGAGAGAGAGTGTTGCTCTCAGTGGATTAGGGAGTAGCTGAGAGTAATTAGTACTACTTTATTTCTTTTTTAACCATGTGAAGGTTGGTCAGGGAGAACTGCATAAAATAACAAATTTGCAAAATGAGAAACAAGAAAGTAAAACTGCATTCAAGTCATATGGGTGATTAAGAAATGAAATTCGTAGTTGGAATTAGCAACTTGATTTGAAAATAAAGGTGTCTTTGTCAAAACAACAGTAGGCATCACACATCAAGGCATTGGTCCTGGTCAGATTTTAGTCTTGTTCACCCAGAAGGATGAATGTAGAGAGCTTTTGCTTTGTGCAGTCACTTTATTATTTACTATTTTATTTGAACAGTATGCATAACATATTTATTTATTTACTTACAATGCTCACTTTGTTGTTGCAGTCCTTGCATTGTTATGTATGTGCTGTTATCACCCAAAGCGGATGAAATGCAGTGTGTGTGGTTAGAGCTTCACACAAGAAAAATTGGATGCGTCACTTGTGCAGTCTTAAAAGCTCCATTATTTGTCCTGTTCAGTGATGCTGATTGTTGTCCCACCCCACAGTCAGGGTTTAGTAAGGATCTACTGTACATAAGCATTTGGCCCTTTGGTTTTTGTTTGCTTGGGTGGTAACTTCTACCTTTTTGCTGTCTGCATAAAGTGCATCTTCTGTTAATATATGAATGAGGCTTTCAGATGAAGTGTAATTATTACATTAGAGACAATGTACAAAATCCATGCTTAGATTTTTTTCAACAAACAAATTTACAGGTCTTTTAAACAGAGCTTGCCTTTTCTTTCAAGGCTTTTTAGGTCTCAGTACATTACAAATCTCACTGGCTCCCCCTTAAGGAAACAACTGCAAAAGGAAAGTAAATGTTCAAATTGTAAATGAATGAAATATATGAATAAATGAATGAAAAATAAAAGGGAAAAAAAAAAGGAATAGAACAAAACAAAATGACTCTTCAAGAGTTAACATTTTTATCTTTGTTTTTTTCCTTCTTTCATGTCTTGTTATTAGGTCAGTCACCATCCACCTATTTCTGCATGCCATGCTGAATCTGTGAATTTTGCTTTTTGGCAAGGTAAATATTCAGTCTATCATTCACTTTCACAGTCCTCATAATAATTGCACTGTATGTTTAACATGAAATATCCAGAAATAGGGAAAAGATGAATTTTTCTGCTTACGTCATAACAGAATGGCTTTAAGAAATCCTTGGCTTACTGGTATTATTTTTACTTGGATCTTCTGCCATTACAATTATGTGCATGTATTCAAAATCTGTTAAATAATTTTCTTGGGTTTTTTGTTTGTTTGTTTGCTTGTTTTTGGTGAGAGGTTTGTTTAGAAGAGGAGAGTTGTACCTCAAGATATTTATAAAGACAACCTAGAATAGAACTTGGAAAACTATGCACTGAAGCCTGAGCCATGACAAATCTTGCAGTTCTGTTCTGAAAATAATTTCCAGAAATATGTATAACAGCAGGGACAGTACATTCACCGTGTCTGTCTCTTTTAGTATTATTAAAGTGCATAAATTTCATGCTGTTTCACTACTAACACTGTCTTTCAAAAAATGGTATGTTGGAGCTTTGTTTGCTGTACAAGTCTAGTGAACATGTCAGGCAGTTAAAAAACCTGAACAATCCAATATTTTTGGAGTGTACACAGGACATAACTATGCCTTTTAACTCAGTTAAAATCCTTTGCCCAGACTTTTGTCAATTCACTATGTAGCATATTATAGCCTTTAATTCTGTTAGGATTGACTTTGCTAACTTGATTAGAGTTATTACAGGTGGAATTGTATAGAACAGAAATTGCAGCTTTGTCATTAGTCTAATTCTTTGCTTTGTAAACACATACAGGACAAGAATTCTTCTGTTTGTACCTGAAAAGCAAAGATGACCAAAAATTTTTCTATTTGATTGTATACAAGACTAGATAACAGCCTATCTCAAAAACTGATGATACATTTCTTTATCAGATCTTGGAAAGCTAATGTCACTTAACTATTGTAACATGCACTTAGAGAACAAATTTGTTCTGTAAAAACAAGAACTGAGAGTCTGGTCAATTAGAGAGAGCCTGAGGTCTGGTCCCAGTGAACCAGAAGACTCAGTCAGGGTGCAGCAGGGTTTGTTTTGGTTTGTTTTTTGTTGTGTTTTTAAATGTGTCTAGCTGAGTTTGTTGGAGATCTAGACAATGATTTTTTTCTAATGTAAATGTAATCTGAAAATGCTGTGGCCTCTTGTTACTGGGCTGTATTAACTTATGTGGGAAGATTAACATTAAGTTAATCATAAAGTTATCTTGTCAGTGAGATACGTTCTTTCTGTGCAAATATCTGTCCACTTATCATATTGCCTCCTCTGCTGAAAGGAGACAGCCCTCAGCTACATTGCTAGAATAGTGCTGTCATTCCACCAGATACTGAGTGACCTTAGTTCCTGTTTCAACATCGAGAAATCTCTGGATCATTTATGGAAAGCTAGAAGAGTGGGTTCTGACAGGGGCAGTTATTTCAGAAACTCTTTTCCCTTACTTAAGAAACTAACACTACATTTGTAGGACCTGTTTGCAAAGGACAATTGCATTGGAAGCTGTAGTTTGGTTTTTGTTCCGTCTTAGCATCTTTTTGAGACTAGAGATGTTTTTTTCCTTTATTTTCAAATGAATCTATGAATAGAATTGGAGATGCTGGTGTCTAGTACAGCAAGGATACTATCTTGCAAGCACTAAAGTCACTGTGAAAGTTACTGTCTGATTGTCTAGCCTAATTTAACTCCATACCCCTTAGCTGTGCTTCTCTGTCCATATTTATTTCACTTTGAAGTGAAATAAATCACTAATTTAACAGCTTCCTCAAGATATTTTTGTAAGCTTTCATTGAGATTTATCATCTTCTTTTTTTGGAGGAAATGATGTGAGACTTGGACAGTTCTTCTGATTCTGACCAGATTTTAAAAGGCCAATTAAACTTCCAGGGGAAGTCAGACTAAATCCCTATCTGATTTTCTGCCCTGTGGGTGTTGTTAGTTGTTATATTTTTGTATTTGGAATTTTCTTTTTGGTTTGGTTGAAAATGTCTGCATTCTTTCACTAGCAACTGAATTACTGATAAATGTATCCTGCCTGTAGCTTATTTAAATTCCTCTGTTTTTGAAAACGTTTTTAAGAGACAACTCTTAGAACTCTGGTGCTTTTCTATTTAAATAACCAGTAATATTGTGAAAAAACACTTAACCGTTTGTAGGTTAGCATTATTTTGAACATTCTTTATTATGTTATACTTCATTATTTTGTGTTTCTTAAAGTAGAGCCAAGATGTAGATTGATTCACCCATGCTGATGACTAAACCTGCCTTTTATTTTTTATTTCCCTTTCCCTCATCCTTTTTCAGATGTAAGATGGAAAAACAAATTCTGGGGAAAGTCCATGGAAATTGTCCCCATTGGTACAACACATGTAACTCTTCCAGCGTAAGTGCTGCGATCACGCATTGCTGTTCACACACGCACATGTAGGCTCATTTCCACTGAAGCTCCATTTTTGCAGATGAGAACCTGTACTGCGCAGATGGGGCCTTTGGAAGAATTGGTGATTTAGTTTAAAAATAAAGAGGGGGAAAAAAAACAAAACAGAAGCTCTAAATCTTTCAAAGGTCATGCTCTAGATCTTTCAAATGTTATAAAGCCAATGATGAGATAAAAGCCATCAATTTCATACGCTTTAGTGAAAAAGCAAAGTTTGTATTTTCATACTTAGGTTCAATTTCAAGCTTAGTGCATTTTTCAGTTACATGGAAAAGCTGCATGGTAAAGGAAGCTGCAGATTTTTTTTGCTTGAATATGAATTTGAGTTTCGGAGGTTGTTGCTCTTTTGTGTCTGCATTTGTACAGACCCTACCACTATGGGGTCTAGGTCTGTAGCTGAGGCTGACAGCTGTCCTCACTGCTTAAATAATTATCGTAAGTTACAAATAGCACCAGTAGCATATCTGGTATTTATTATTCAAGGAAGTAAGTGCTCATAACCACTACAGTTCAGGTTGATTTTTAAAAATAAAAATCTACAGTGCTCCTATGCTGGCTTGTCAAAGCTATAGATCAACAAATAGAATCACTCAAAAACTCCCCTCTAGCCAGTATGGTAACAGAAACACAGGTCTAAAGGTTAAGTATTGTTCTAATTAAATTTGTTTTCCAAAGAGAGTCTACAAATTTAATCTGCCAAATTTAAGAAAGAAGAGAAACAACCCAATAATGTATCCGAAAGGTAATGTGTATAAAAGATATTGTGTTCTCTTGTTCGTAGTGGCTAGACTAAGCTGTGCATTCCAAGATCTTTAGAATATGAGTGAAGGTTCAGAGGTAAAGTAACCTATGGATTAGCGCCCATTATTCCCATGAGGGCTGATGAAATGGAAAATTTTCAGATTCACATGTGATTTTCATGTGTCTATTTGTATCCCTGTGGAAAAAAATATCTGAATTGTTGTCATAGGCTTTATTAATAATAAACAGGTATTCAAGAATATTAAGACTTTATTAAAAATTTGTTTTTTGATTTTTTTTTCGTTTGAGTTCTCTCTGAATTTTTTTCAGAAGTTTATAAGCTAGCTTAAATATGGTGTAAGACTTCTCCTGTATTTATTTTGTTACAGTTTTAGAGACCATTTTGCATGGAACAAGGTGACATCTTGCATCCATAACATCTTAAGTGGACAAAGATGGATTGAACACTATGGAGAGATCATCATCAAAAATCTTAATGATGACACTTGTTACTGCAAATTGACTTTCATAAAGGTGACCTTCAGTAACAGTAATTTTGGCAGTGTCCTATCCAGCAAACACAGCAGGGGGTGGATTCTGTCTGCTGAAACTCAGTTCAACTGCTTACAAACTGTGTTTTCATATAGTTCTGAAATTACCTGTGATTCTTTGAGAATCATGAACTATAAATGAACTGCAGCTTACTAGGTAGAGCCAGGCAAGAAAGAAAAGCGCAGCCTTCTCAGGTGAGATGCAGGAAAAAAAAAAATAAGAGGGAGGGAAAGGAAGAAATATAATCAAAAACCTAGTCTATGTTTGACAAGAGAAGTAGACACAAGGTGTCTACTGAAAGAGACTTACCACATACCTCCTACTAATCCAATGGCATGTGCTACGGTTGCATTCATCCAGCAGCCATGGAAACAGTGCTTACGTGGGGTGTTGCAAGCAGTGCACTTTTCTAGCCCTCTACAGGTGCTTGGAGGAGCCTAAGCGAAGGATTGAATTGTTCAAAGCTTTTGCTTCAGTATAAGGCATTGATATATAACTACCTCAAGAAATGCCCTCATAACTGAAATTAAAATTAACTTCTGGCAGTAGATGACTTCTTCAAGAAAAGAAAAATTAATTGAAAGCCTAAAATAATGCCAAAATTTCTAACCTGAGAAACAGTTTTGCTCAGCATTGTAAGAAACTTCACCTGAGTTTTCTGTATCTGATTGTTGGAGCAAGGCTCTGCTTTTCATAGCTTGTATCTGCATGGCTGCATGGTCTCTCTGTAAGTACTTCACCATGCTTGTGTGCCACGGTGCACTCAGCAGCAGAAGGAAAGTGAGTATCACCATTTTCCTTTTCTTACTTCTTTTTCTGAATACTGTATGCTTTCTAAGAAGCATTAGAGCAATCTTTTTACGTATTTTATTCAAAGTACAGTAATGTATTTTCAGAGTTGTAGTAGATTTTGGAAATGGAGAGACTGCAAGTTTATAAATTCGATATTATAAATTGGCTAAAATGGAGGTGACTGTGAATAACAGTTCTTTCTCTTCCTGTTCTGCAAATCTGGGGAGGATTTAGGTAAGCAAGTCAGGAATCAGTGTTATCTGTCATTGGACAAATTTGAAGGTCAGCTGTGCTTCACCTAGTGCTGCCCCTAACACAGGGAAAACAGATACAATTCTCAACAGCCCACTTTAGTAGGCTGATTTATAGTTCTAACAGCAGTTCTTTATGTATGATATTGTGATGTAAATCTAAATGAATAGTTTTCAATTCAGAAAAAATACCATACAGCATGGCAATATCGCTCTCACTTGATCTCTTATGCACCTTTTGATTCTAGGCAAAGTATTGGAATCCAAATGCACATGAGATCGAAGGCAGTGTCATGGATAAAACTGGGAATGTTGTGCATCGACTCTTTGGGAAGTGGCATGAAAGTTTGTACTGTGGGACAACTTCATCTTCAAATTGCATATGGAGAGCAAGTTAGTGACCAGAATGGCTAACATACAGAACTTAGAATATGCTTGAGAATATCTATTTTCTATCTATTTTAATCTACCTAGTAGACATCAACTTCTTATTGCAAAGAATATTACAATTTTTTCAAGGATTTAAAATTTAGACCAGAAAAATAAATCATTCAAATTATATTGGAAACTTAATCCTTGGCTTCGCATATTTTCCTCATTCTTCTTCCTTTTCATATCTGGCTATGAAGAAAGTATTGAGGACTCTAAAAGCAAAGAAAAAACAACAAACAAAAAACCACTTCATTGTGTGTAAACTGTGGTGGTTTTCATGTATATCAAACTTTGGAAGATAGCTCAGTTCCATAATGAGGACCATATCTGAAGTTCTCCGAAACCTTGTGGGGTTTTACTTACTGAAGTTTGAAAAATCACTATGACTGTCGAATGCGTTTCATTGCTGTTATGCTTTGACTCAACTTATTCCCCCAAAATTGAGGCCATGATTCAGAGATTTTGAAAAAGACTGAGGGGAGTTTGGTGTTGTCCCTCTAAAGATAGTAAAATTTAATTGGAATTCTTAATGTTCTTTTTTTCTGCTGTAGATCCAATGCCTAAAGATTATGAACAGTGGTATGGATTTACTCAATTTGCATTGGAGTTAAATGAACTGGACCTGCAAACAAGGTCATTACTCCCATCCACTGACACACGCTTTAGACCAGACCAAAGGTAAGAAGTTTTTCCTCTTAAGTATCTTCCTCAAAATCTGTCCATTCACTTTAGCCCTAAGCTCAGGCTCCTTTGTTTAGATACCTGCAGACTGTTCCCATTTCTACATTAATTCTGCATCTGAAACAGAATGAGATGTCTAGTCATTATAGACCAGTGTTTTCTGGAACTGGTTTTGGATGCTCTAGTTTCTAGATAACTGTCATTACAAAGATGTTACAACTTTCTAGGGATTCTTTGTTAAGCATACTGTGTTTGAAGAACTGAAACCTGAGACTCTTGAAACTTCTTTGTGTGGGGGAATTTCTACCATTGCTAATTTCCAGGGAAGAGAATCTCATACAAATATTACTTTGAGCCTGTTGTAAGTTACCTTTCCATAAGTGCTTTTTGGTAATGCAATTATTGTCTATAGATACAGTTGTTTATCTTTCAAACACCAAGCTGTCTTCTGTAAAGATTAGATTCTGGAGTTCTTGAGGACCTAACAAAAATAATGGACTGAAGCACCAATTATGTTTTTTATCGCTGCTGGTGCTACAGGTTTCTAGAAGAAGGGAATATTGAAGCAGCTGAAATGCAAAAACAGAGAATTGAGCAGCTACAGAGAGAACGACGGAAGGTGCTGGAAGAAAACAATCTGGAGCATCAGCCTAGATTTTTCAGGTATTATATAATAATTAGTATATAACATTATTTATTGAAATGTTTACAACAGATCTGGTTCTGATCGGCCATAAAGAAGGCTCCAGGTTTTCCCAAGTTTCTTCCATATTCTTGATTTGTATACTGAAGCAATGTAGAGCACTCCAGACTTAGTTAAGGAATACTTAGGATGTGGATATGCTTTTTTATTACCACATCCCTGATTTTTTTATGTTTTAAATTTTTGTTCCAAAGGTAAATGGTATTTGGTCTCAGTCTGGATTTGCCTGAGGAGTGAATGTAGCATCCTTGATTCTTTCAAGCAAGGTGAAATGTGGGTGGTTTTAGCTTAATTAGCTCTGCTGAACTTTAAAATCAGTGGGACTGCCTTGTGCAGCAGTGTTTGGAGCTAGAACATTGGAGCTAGCCCATGTTTGGGCTGGTTTTGAACATTTCTTCTATCTAATGGCAAGAGAATTGTGATATAGAGGTCGTTTTATTTCTTCCTGTTGTAAATCAATTAACAGGGGGACTTCAGCTGTTGAAAGACAAGACTGAATGCTAGTGACAACACGGCCTTATACCCTCCAGCTTCTCTGTTCAGGATGCAGTGAAAGATTTAGATCCAAGATGAGTGCTATATGGGCAAATGTGTCATAATTAACAGATCTGGGATAGGAATTGTTTTTCTAGATAGACACAGTACTAATGAGGAGTAAGACTTGGAGAAACACAAAATGTTTACAATAGATGCAAAAAGAAAATGGCTTAGGCCTCTGCCTGTCAGAAGAGCTGGTGAGCTAATGAAATGGAGGCACACTTTTCTTCCAGGAGGCTAAACAGACAGAAGAAAAGCAAGGTCTCATAACTATGTTATTATATATTCACAATGAGGAATGTAAATAAGAATGAGGATTTGAATCCTTAAAATGAGGATATGAAAGCTGAGATTTGTGCCATATTTTTAAATAACAGAATAAAAAATATTATTACTGTATAGCAAAAATGTGAGCAAGTATTAGAGTAGATGTGAATTATGCATTTTGCTTTTCAATAGTGATTTATTCCTTCAATAAATTGCAAGTTCTGGTTTACTTAATAGATAATTTGCTGTTTTTTCAAAAATGTTGCACACTACATAAAAAAGATTGGTGCATTCAGGGTTACAGTACATAGAATGATGAGCCTTGCTTCTTGGCTGAGAGCTGTATCTCTCCTTATGTAATAACTGTGGTGAGCCACCTTTGGAGAGGAAAAAGGAAACTTTCAGATTCCATCTCAATCAGGAAAGAGACACTGACTGTTCAGGTTTTAAAAAGGCATATTCTTACAGAAGCTTATGCAAAGCTGCCTGATGGCATTTGAGACAAGGAAGTAAACCTGGAGTGTAGCTCTCAGTGCTAAGGACTGACACGGTGAGCGAAACAAGGGTGTTTTGTATTTCCCCAAGACCCAAACATACCAATTAAGTTCACCAAGCTATATTGCCTTGTTTGAATGTTGTACTGAGCTTCATTGCATCTGGTTTATGGGCTGGATTAGGTATCTGTATGTAGTGCATGCTACATTGCATCATACAGCAAATACATAGAAAAGATAAGCTTTACGTTTAAAAAAGAACTATTTAATCTTTGATAGGAAATCCAAAGATGACTCCTGGGTGAGCAATGGAACCTACATGGACCTTAGAAAAGAACCGGGTTTTTGCAAACTGGACAATCCTGTCCTCTGGTGAAAGAGGAGCCAAGTGAAGATATTCCATGCTGTATTCCTGGATCTGATTTTAAAAAAGTATATATATATATATATATATTTATACACACATATAATATATGTGTGCAGAGTGTGTATGTGTGCAAGTGTGCATATCTCCAGAATTGTGCTTAATTTAGAATCTGATAATTCATTTGTTTTCTCTTCTCTGTTTCAATGATTGTTTGAATGTACGAATACCCTAACTTCTTTTTATAAAATATTTAATAAATAGCACTGAATGTGAACAAGTAGAGGGAAAAGAGGAGCTTTTACACTACTTTTCCAATGTGTAATAATGTCAGTTAAGAGTTAACTTATGCCTTATCGGGTTGCATTGAAGACAGTAGCATCAGCATCACGTAGCTGTGCTAAGAAACGAGCGTTAAGCCTTATGACTCAAACTGTAAGTAGGCTTCCACAGTTCAGTGAGTAATTTCACCTGTCTATGGACTGGACTAAATTGCTAAAACAGATTATCAGCCAGTGCTGAAATCTGAGTACAATCTTTTGCTGCTTGTGGAAAAGATTTAAATAAGCTTTTCTTTCTATTAGCTTTCTTACTAGCATTATTGGAAAGGGAAGTTCTGCAGTTACATCAGTGGATCAAGTCATAAATATAAGCTGTACCTGGCTAAAAGTAGTTCTAGAAATTCAGGAATTGCCAAAATTTTCCACTGAGAATCTTCAGATTTATAGTCGCCAACAGGGCACGAGGAGATCTTTTGTATATAATGTTTGAGCACTGTCTAAATGAAGCAGCTCTCTCTTTTTGCAGGAAGTAATATGTATACAGAGCACGAAATCCTGTGCTTCCATAGCTTCATTTGTTTTTATTAACCTAAAAACTGCAACAGAAAAACTTTTTAAAAGGTAAGCAAACTAACTGATTGTTTTAAGCTGGAAATTTTTTCTTAGTATTTTGATATTTTCTACCTCTTAAGAAATAAACGACATATTTAAGATCTTATATTTAAAAAATGACCATCTGCCTTATGGAGAAATGTATGAACTCTTTGATCTTCCTCTGTTTGTTTGTTATATTCAGATAAACATTCAAGTGTCTTGCACTAGATAAGTTGCATCTCTTTCCTGTAATTTTATACATTTGGATAGATTTGCGAAAGCACTGAGTCATTGATTAAAATATAACAGGAAAAAAATGTAGCAGAAGTCTTGCTTTGAGTCAAGATTATAGTGATGGGCAGTATCTTTTTTTCCCATGAAATCACAATGCTATGTTCATTAACAGAATAATTTGCATTCCTACCTATCTGCAGTTCAAGCCTGACGCATGATTCTTCTAATCTGTTCTGTGTATCTGTGACTCTCTCGCATCAACGCAGATTTCAGGTGTAGATCAATGTCCACCACCACTTTCTTTTCTTACATATCATTTCAAAAAAATAAACCCTGTCTATGATAAACATTGTTAACGTGACTTATGACTGGAACATATGGACAGTGCATGGATAAGAGTGACTCTTAGAAGGACAAGTAGCCTAGAAAAGCTTACAGCTTACTGTGTGCTGCTTTGTTCTAAAGAAAACCTGTTAAAATTGATCAATATAATACTTGTAACATGAAGTAAATACTATGAAAACTTCCATTTTAAACCAAATCTGTGATATCAGTTTAGATGCATATTTAAATTTTGCTTTCTGCTATCTTGAAGCTTCATTGTGTCACAGGCAGATAAATGTTTTCTTACTATTATTCACTTTGCCCAGGAACTCTGGGCTCACTATCATTTCTGTAATTTATCACCAAAAGTGTTAGTATATTTTCTTATACTTAATGTATCTTTTAAAAACACAGCTAGCTTGCAACAAGGCATGTTTCAAGTCAGCATGAAAACAAAATCTGGGCTTTCATTCAGAAGGGGATCTTAACCTTTGGGAACTGTTTGGCTTTTCAAGGAAAATGAAGATCTCTTCATGACTTGAATCTTGTTTTATTCTTGTATTAACAAAACTTGACACAGAAATGAGTGAATATTTGTAGTTATCTTTGTTGTTTGCAATTACCATCTATAACTAATAATTACATTCATTTAACAACAAAGGAGGGTAAGAGAAAGGAGTGGAAAAATGCTTTTAAGAAAAGGAGTAACGTTTGTGATGGATGCATTGAACTTCTCATTCTCATATGAATTTGGAAGCTGTTGTGATTATTGTCTGATCTGATTGCTGGTTTTGCATTTTCTGTGTATGGAGTGGATTTTCCCCATACTTTGTCATATGAACTAATAGTTAATAGCATTCAAATAAAGGGACTGGGGGCAAAGTTAAAGAACTGTAATGCATTAAGGTCTGTGGGTGTTAAACAGAACTAATCTCATTTTGATGTTTGAGTCACGATTTTTGAGAAATCCAACTGGCATTGTTTTCCTGTATCTTTCAGTCTGAAATGCCTAAAAGACTCTTAGTTGAAGATAAGGAGCAGTGAGCTGGGAAGTGCCTTATAGAAAATTTTAGCAAAATTCCCATATCAAGAAGGCAAACATCAGAATTTCACTATTTTCTTCAGTAAAATAATGCCCAAAATTAGGCTAGGCTTTTATCTGGTGTAACCAATGGCGAATGATCATCTGGCCAATGTTTCCAGCTGCAGTATAGTTGTCCCTGCCTATGTTTGTATGAAAGAGTTGGGTTTAATTGCTAAGCTTCTGTCAACTATATATTAAGAAGTGGAAAGAAATTGTCTTGATGTTATTTCTGTGTATTTCTGTATAAAGATATATTAATCATTCACAAACTTGAATATACTCTACAGTTATTCTTGGTGAAATATGAAATTTGGTTTTCCCCGAAAAACTTCCATTTTCTTTCAACAATGCACTAGGGGATTTGTTGTGTATAGTAACTGACATTTCTACCCTGAGTGGTAGAAATAAAGTATTAGGTGACTGCTTTCTTTCCTGCACTGCAGTGATTCCCAAACTGTTCCACTCAGTGCATCAATCTTAAAATTTCCTGTTGCCTCCTGTTTTAGTACTCTTACTTGATGACGTTGTAAGCATTGCTTAAGATAATGTGGGGACAGTTTGAGCACCACTCATCTAGCTCTCCCCTTCTCTGTGCACCCCTTCACAGAGCAAAAAACTTACTACAAATTTACATCAAAGTAATGGAACAGCTCATGCCTTCAAGTGTTCCAACACTGACTCAGTTTTCAAATTGCTCAGCAAAGAGAGAAAAGGTCCTAAGGAAATAGTGTTTAGAGAGAGAGAAACCCACAGCTGTACTTCCAGATTTACAGACTTGACACTTAGAATCAGATTTTGGTGCAAAGTTTGGTGTTAAAAAACAACAGTTTAACTTGTTTAGGACACTACTCTTGGTAGTACAGAGTGCTATATAGACTGAGTGGATGTAGTGTGTGCCATTCATCATTGCATTCCTTTCTTAATCTTTTCTCTCTGATATATGCTTTGTGTTAATTTGCCTGCATTAATCTATTTTTTGGGTGCTTTTGAAGTACAGATCCAGTCAAGTACTTAGGTTCCTCATACAGAGCTTGGATAATCTACATTTATACATAACTTGTACTCCTTTGAAGGATCGTAGATCGTACAGAATCGTAGGGATTGGAAGGGACCTCCAGAGATCGAGTCCAACCCCCCTGCCAAAGCAGGTTCCCTTCACCAGGTTGCACAAGTAGGTGTCCACGTGGGTCTTGAATATCTCCAGAAGAGGAGACTCTACAACAGGCTTCTGGATTCTTTTAAGACCTGGCCTCTGGAGGAGGTGGTGGTTGCAGACACAGTCACCTTATTATTTGGCAGCTTACCTGTTTAATGTTCCTGCAAGAGTTTCAGGCTGTTGAGATGAGGTTGCTGGACAGAAAGGAACACAAAGGAATATACAACCAGGGGCAGCTTTGGAGTAAATAAAAAAATTAAGCATCTGCCCTTCAATTTCCCTCAGCTGTTTACACTGTTTTTAGGTCCCCTCACATCTAAAGGTCCTTATTCAATGTCCCATTTTCTCTTTATTAATAAGAAAATCCTGGAAAGTAGTAGAACATCCCATTCTGACAAGTTTTTAAATGACAAAACAGTTACTTTTTTCCTATAAACATTGTGGCCTATTTTTGTACTTTTCCCTTGACTGTGAACAGGACTTTCTTCACGCTGGCACTCTGGTGTCAGACCACAGCCTGGTAATGGTGCAGCTACATCTGCTCAGCGTACTCCTAGTTAATGTGCTTGCATCTGCTTTTGTGTAAATCTGTTCTAGTATGTCTATGGATGATCAGCTTTTCAGAGCTGAAAATTTTCTTTTGTTCAGATTTTGTATGTAACTCATAGGAAGTGGGGGCATGCTGAGGAGGAATACAAAACCTGGACTGCCACACCTATGTAACAGTGAAGGGTGAAATCCGTCTTCTTCACATAACTGAGTACAGCTTGCTGGAATGGGATGGTGCTATTCAAAGGAGTGATGCTAAAATGAAAGGCTCTTTAGATTAGGTATGTTTTCATTCATGGATTTTATGTACTATACATAAACTCTTCTATCTTCTAGCTACTGGTGGGTGAAACTCAGTCCAGCAGCTGGAATTGTTAAGGACTTGCAAATCTTATCTGGCTTATTTATTAAAACTTAGTAAGTGCTGTAACTTACAATCAAACACAGTATTGTGCTGCTCAGTTCTTGCTGTAGTTTTTGAAAGCAATAAGAGAAATTTCCCACATAAATAGTTGCTGTATGTTAAAAAAATATTTTAAGTGATTCTTTTCCTAATATATACAAGTCGTCGATTAGGTATTACTGCTGTATAAAACAAAACTGTATTACGACTTATGGGAAAGTTTTGGAGATTGATCCACTAGAAATGCTGAGCTCTTTCACCTCCACATGTCTGGGGTGATGGTGAAAATATTTGATGTTCCTGAGAACTGTGTTTGAGTGTTTTACTTGTTCCAGTACTGGAAAAACATGCTACATGTATGAGGTATTACATATGCAATGCTGCTAAATACTGATTTTGTTGTATGTTTTGATGGAGCGTGAATGATTTTGGGATGAAGAAAGTTATCTTCTGTGTT